CGTCTGGGTACCAGCTCTCTGCTGCCCTGCGCACAGCGGGCTGGCACCTGGCCGGGGAAAGCAGAGCAGGTCTAAGAGTCAGGGCTGTGCATTCGAGAGGATTGGGAGGAACAGGAGACAGCAGGCAAGCGCCCAGAAAAATCACCTGTAAAAAAATCTCATAATTGCAAATATCCACCAGGATAGCAGAGAAATGGAGCAGCCCAAGCAGAATGGAGAGGAAGACTGCCCTTTAGGAGGGGCAAAGGCCACCAGCCAGCAGGAAATAACTGACCGGGCGGGACAAGCTCACCAACCTGCCCCTAACTTCCGATGGGCCATACACAATAGGCAGGTCAATGATGGATGGGGAGAGATGGGGATGATATGGAAATATTCTCGGAGATGAGAGGTCAGGAGGACACGTAGGGAGCTGCAGCTGAGGAACTGTCTGCGCATCCTTATGGATGAGCTCTCTCTCTCTAATCACCGTGGCCATCACGATGGATTCTGCCTTATGCCTTGACTCCTGCCATTTTCCATGAGATTAATACTGTGATTCCCATTGTTGTTTTATTTTTCCTTGCATTTCCTGATATGCCTTTACCGATCCGTTTGCGGTGAACCTTATGTAATTTCCATGTGTCCGGTGAGCTCTGTATTACTGGTACCCTGTCTGAAGTTTCTATGAACAGTAGTTTCACCCATTTGCATGGAAAAATGTAAAGGTAATAAAGCAATTCAAATGCAAAGAGGAAGGAGGAGAGGCGGAAGAGGAGGAGAAAGAAAAGGAGGAAGGAAGTCTTTAACAGAATTAAGTTAGTGATCTTATATCTGGTCCCAACTGCTCTCTATATGCACTTTTTTTTTTTAACTTGCCCATTAAGTCCAAAAGTCTGGGAACTACTCACTTAGAAGTCTCATTTTTCTCATCAATAAAATAGGGGAGGGAAACTCTATTTTGCAGAATTGTGTATAGTGATGGTAACATATATAAAGCATCAATCCTTTAGAGCTTTATCATCATCATAAAGAGCTTAACTACTTAACTTGAAGGTTTATTCAATAAAATCCATATCCAGGCAATCTAGCACAGTTGTCAAAGGCAAGCTCCGAAATCAAACTGCTGGATGTCAATCCTAGTTTTGCCATTGCTGGCTCCGTGATCTTGAGTGAATCAGTGTAAATTACAATCTCATCATTCAAATGGCAATGGTAAACAACAGGACCTACTGAAAAGGGCTGTTTTAAGATTTAAATTAGATAATCCATGTAAGATGCTTATCACAGTGCCCTCTAAGTGATCTATGAATG